ACAGGGTTTCCGAGGCTGTAAATCTTTACGGGAGCAGAAAGCCTCATCTTTCTCCCTCGGAGCGGCTGGTAGTTTCGAACTGCTGACCTTAAGGTTCACAGCCCGATTCGTAACCACAGTGGTTATGGATTAATTGCTGCCATTATGTTTGTTTTTTGTGGTGTTGCTGCCAAACCTGGCAGATTCAAAAGTTCATGATTTCTTACTTTTGCCACAAGTTCCACTAGCTATATGCCTTCAAACCTTTTAAAGATTCCTATCTCTATGGTTCCGAGTTATGGAGCTCTGTCCTGAATCTGCTTTGCCTGGTATTCTGTGGTATTACTGATGGTGAACTGCACTGCACCTCCACCCTAGCCACCATCATGCCCCGCCTCTCCGGTTGTTGCAGCTTTTTCTTATGAATGTAGTGGTTTACATAGCAGATCAGTTTTACATTCAGTAAATCATATAGTTTGCTCCATTACAATGACTTCAATCCCCTCCAAGCACCATCAGTTAACAACATTCACTTTAACTTTTGCACTCTTCCCCATGTCTCCTGCTGCCTTCATCTTTTCTCTGCCAACCTTCACTAGAGTGTTCCTTCACTCATGTTAACATTTCTCTTCCCTGTACCCTCATGGTAATCATCATAGAATGGTTCTTTTATCAAGAAAACTTTTTCTTAACTTTTACAACAGGGGTTGCATACAATATATGTCCTTTTTGATTACCTAATTTTATTCAGGATAATGTCCTCCAGGCCCATTCATGTTGTGAAGTGTCTTGTAGATTCATTGTTATTCTTCAGCATTGTGGAGTATTCACTGTGTGTAGTACCATGGTTTGTTTAACTATTCTTCTGCTAATGGACGTTTAGGCTGTCTCCATCTTTTTGATGCATCTCTTATAAACAGCATATTGAAGGATCCTGTTGTCTTGTCCATTCTGCTGCTTTCTGTGTTTTGACCTGTGCATTTAATACATTTGCAGTCAGTGTAATTATTGATAGGTTTGAATTGATTGCCATCATTTTTGTGTGTGTCTTTTTAAGGCGCTGCTTCTTTCTTTGTTCCAGATAATTTTCTTGCGCTTGCTGAAATAATTTTGCTTGTGGGTTTTCTTTTCATTTTCGTTTCTGTTATGTTAATGATTACTAAATCTTTCTGATGATCCTCTTCTTTATTTTGATGTGAAGGTGTATTAATTTTGTTTGTGGTTACCCTGTAACTTATTGATGTTTCCCTATTTAAAATGGTCTGTTTTAGTCTATTGATGTGACTGTTTTCCTCTTATTATAAGGTTTGACTATAAAACTAATAGGAATGTTGCTACATTTTAAGAGGTCTAAAATAAGAGTTCATGTCCATTTTTGGTTAGTAAAGAATCTTTTCTAAACTCAAAACAATAGTAAATTTCATTTTAGAAAATCTCTTCTGAAAATTTTTCCTGCTAAATTTTTCTTCAATAGCTATTAGTTTTCTGAATCTTTTGAAATCTCAGAACTAAGAATGAAGGTGTTTTTTTGTAACCTTGCTATAGACAGCTTGTCTTCTCTGATGGAAATTTAGATTTTTTTCTCCTCAGTGGTAAAATGCTAAATAGTTACAAGAATACTATCACCAAACTTACTTTTTTCCTGATGATGAACTAAATTTATTTTTACATTATTTTAAATTATTTAAAATTGTATATGGGGGAACCTTCTCATGTTTAATGATAGCACATGTGGAAGCCTATGCTGTAGGATAAACACTAGAGTGATAACCACAAGATTGTCAGTTCAAACCCACCAGTATTTATTTTATGCTATTGCAAATGGAAGTTTAAAAATAATTCATGTCATACAGGAGTAGGATCTACTCAGTTGTTTGTTTCTAGTATATACAAGGTTGAGTAAAAAAATGATCATTGCTCCGGTTATATGAAAACACCCATCCATGTCCACGGCTGATGACAACGTTGAGCCTGCATGTGAAATGATTCTGTTCACAAGACGAGTGACAGTGGATTATGTGGCAGATCAGCCAGGGCTCTTCCTGTGAAATAATCCACCACAGACTGGGTTTGGAAAAGTTTGTGCGAGGTGAGTACCGAAACAGCTCCTAGAAGAGCACCAAGAGAAATGTTTGAACATCTGCAAACAAAATTTGGACTGAAACTGGAATGAAGGTAAAAGTTCCTTTAAAAACATTGTTACTGGTGACAAGACATGGATCCATTACTATGAATCTAAGGGTTAATGGCAGAGGATGGAATGGAAACCTCCTCAATCTCCAACCAAGAAAAAGTTCAAAGGTTGACCATCTGCTGAAAAACTGATGCTTACAGATTTCTGGGATTTTCAAGGGTCAGTATTCTAATACACTATCAGGAAAAAGGTGTGGTGCTCTGGGTTAATATGCTTGACTACAAAGTAAGTTTGAAACGCATGGTCGGCAGTTCAAGTTCACGAGCTGCTCCTCAGAAATCCTATACAGGGTTGCTATGGGTCAGAACTGACTGGATGACACTTAACAGCAACAACAACAATCAGGAAAAAAGTTCAGCAATCAACAGTGCTCATTACAGTGAGATGCTCCCTGCAGAGCTGAATCCTAAATTTTGGATTAAATGCAGAGGACTGTTATCCAAGGGCATTGTGATCTTGGATGACAATGCATGTCCTAACACTTCTGCCCATACTGTTGACACTTTGCAAAAACTTTGTTTTGAGGTGTTAAAGCATCCTCCCTATGGTTCCGATCTTTCTCCATTGGACTTTGACCTGTTTGTTGTAATTAAAACAACCCTTTGAGGATGAAGATTCACTTCTGATGATGAGTGAAG